CTGTATACTTTGACTGAGCTCTTCTATAAAATATGGTAGGATTTTTTTTTACAACTTCAAATGTGCAGGAATTCACTGGAAATAGAAACCTGCAATTGTTAAATATCTAGAAATATGTGCTTTTTATATGAATTGATTTGCTTTACTTATTTATTTATTCCTTTATTTATTCAGGCTTTGCCAGGTCTAAAAATATTTGCAGAGCATTTTACGTAAGGGTTTATATAAATGTGAGCAATAAAAACAATTGTTTATCGGTTTTCTTTTTCACTCAGAAACCAGCATTCCCATTGACAAAATGTATATTTTGTTCAGAAAAATCTAAGTATGTTTTTTTTGTTGGTGGTTTGAGAATTTTGAAACATACTGTACATTAATATGATGGTAACTTACCTAGTTCTTGAATAGTTTTGTGAGTTTTAAAGTAATTATCATTTATTCATTATATAATGGATCTGGATGCAATTTCTCATATATCAACTTACCTATTTCTTGGATATTTGAAAACAGACCATTATCAGATATATTCTGTTATATGGGCTGGCGTGTAGCTCCTGTGTCCGGAAGGTTGTGGGTTCACATCCCACGGTTGGCAGAGTTTAAACCTACTGGCTGACCCTGCTCTCAGACCCCAAGCTTATCTCAGTCTTTTGGACATTAAAGTCTTCTAGATATGTGCAATGTGATATTCACCACAGCAGAACATCACCATATTACAGCAGGTTTGGTTCTGTACAGAAAGATCACTGTAGCACTGGATTTGATGATACTGTGTTAGATTGACATGCATAGACTTTTGTCAGCTGGAATTCACCAACAATTTTTTTATTTTACTTTACTGTTGGATAAATTGTAATATTAAGCCAAGTCTTTGGTTTTTGTAGATAAATGAATTTTATATGTTGTTTCTGTTTTTGCTGTGTGAAAGGGCACCTTGCAATGGTCAAATTCCCCGCAGACCACACAGCAGCCATAGTGCATGTGTTGTGTTGGACCTCAGAGGCACCTTGTCAGGGGTCATGGGAAGGCGCGTTCCACACCGACAGGCTCCAGTATGAAGACCAAGGAGACCCTCTCTGTTTCTGAACCTGGGGAGCACAGGGTTAAAGCAGGGGGCACCATGGGCTGCACACACTCACATACATTGGGGAATGGTGTGTGGCTTGGTGGGTTAGGAGAGTGCACTTGGTATCAGAAGGGTGATGGTTCAAATCCCATAATCAACAGAATAAATAGATAAAACTGCAGATTGGTGTGGAAGACTTAGCTTCAGTTGCTGCTCCTTCCTTCCAAGAGATGAGGTTAAGTCTGATACAGAAAACTAGAGAAGCTTTGATAACATATCAGCTCCTGAAGACTATTGTGCAAAAAACTGCAAAATTTGTCTTAAATGTGGTATAAAAGTAAATGTTCAGCTGTAGAACACATTCATCTTCCCAAACACAGTCCCTTCCTGGCT